TCCACGAACCACCTGGGGGGAGCGGGTTCAAAACTCATCCTGGAAACCAGAAAATGGAGGGAAGGGACTTTCGCTTTGCAGGGACAGGGTCTGACTTTGTCTCGCCCATGGCTTCTTGCAGCCATTGGCGAACTTGTCTCGAACGGTTCGTAGCTAAACATCGGAGAATGCGTGCACATTCGTTTCAAAAGCTTCGCAAGGAAGTGTGAATCATGAAAAAGCTGAATGGATATTGGACCGACTATTGCCTGCATGAGTGTAGCTACAATGGCTGCTTCTCTGTGGCCTGATGCTGGACTTTCAACTCGGAATATCACACTTTCGAGCACTAGCTGCTTTAGCCGAGCAGCCTGTTCCGAGCCTGAGCAAGAACGTCTCGCCTGCAAGTCGGCAGCCATGGGAACGAGAGTGGTTCATCAAGTGCGCCAAGCCTGGAAACCCCCTGAACCTGAATTTTGTGAGATCCGCAGGCCGTGGTATCGTGCTTCGTGAGGGTGGGAGGGACGTGTATCTATCAAACACACACTGGGGCACAGGCTCATTGTAGACACACTTCTTGATGTTCTTCTTTGCATGCCTGCAATCCGACTCTGCACTGCTAGTGCCGGATATCAAAAAGGCCAAATCCCACCGAGACGGCAAGGGCCGCCTCTGCTTTGTCATCTGCTTCAGCGCGAAGTACCTGCAAGGAGATGAGTACAGCCTGCTGGTTGTGTGAGCGCAAAGTCCGAGCCCAAAACCCAAGAACATTAAAGACTCAAAACAAAGACTCAGAGGCTCACTGGTGTGGTTCGGAGTCTTTCAGCCTCACAAGGAAGACCGTGCCGAAGGCACCCTCGGTGATTTGCCAAATCGTTGGGAACTTTCCATTTCTACAGCTCTAGGACAAGAATGACTCGAAGTGCCACTGTATCAGTAGCTTGCTGCAGTTGCTTCTCTGGTTGCTGCGAGATCTACTGCTTGAGAACCTAGCCTAGACACCAGTGCCCCTTCTCAGAAAGAACACCTTCTCACGATGTCTCACGTCACATCATCGCACCCAGCAAATGTTCACAGGAAAGCTTAGGGAAGTTTGAGGAGTCTGAGGTCATGGCCGCACCCAGCACGGCCATAGATGTCAGGTCTTTCGTCGACCAGTGCCTGCAATGTGGTATCACGATGTACCACAATACCACCCAGCTCCAAAAATTCAAACACGGGGGCCACTCCCATCACTTCCGTCACTTTTGCTCACGGACGAAGAGCACAACTCGCAGCCTGAATTTCGCAACCGCCAGGCGCTTCTCATGTTCCTGGAACCTCGGATGCCGAGACGGAAAAGGAGGTGAGGAGGCACGGAACAAGAGAAGTGCGGAGAGGAGTGCTTGGTTTGCCAGACTCCCCATGCAAAGGCCAGGTCTTTGGGACCCCCACTGGGCTGCCACGACCTCTCGGCGCTGCGTGTCCTGCTCTAGGGGCTAACCCTGCTAACCCTGACCCCGAATCCACAAACTCCAACCAGGAAACCGCCAGGAGCAACGCAGAGGCATCGAAGCCCCTTTCGTAGGCACCCCACAGACTCATCCCTAAATCCCAAGAACCCCCTAAACCGATGGCTTTCGGCACCAGCATGAAGTCTGCAACCCTCGACTGAATAAACAAGCCCCTCCCAAGCCATCTCAAAACTCGGCCAACCCCACACATCCTGAATCGCATAACTGCGCTCACTGCTTTTGGACATTTTATGTATGGTTTGAGGGGTTGAGGAGCAGTCCGAGCTTGAGGTTGTGGGAAAGGGCCTGCGGTGTTCTTGGATGCCCTTAAAAACTCACAACCCTGTTTGATCATCACTGACAAGTATATAGCCAACAAACATGCAAAAACAACAAAGCACATACTGAATACATACATACTTACTTACTTACATTACATTATGTTACATTACATTGCATTGCATTGCATTGCATTGCACTGCACTGCATTACATTACATTACATTACATTACATTACATGTATATATGCACCTCTATATGGATATATGCATACGAGGCATATCCAAAACCTGTAGAGGAGCCAGGGTCCGTGGCTCTGAGGATGCTTGTGGCTCGGAGGCTATCAGGCTTCGGATGTTTGGATGCTTTGGCGTGAAATGGGCGAGTTTAGGGTTTCGAGTGGGGAGGGCTCCTGAACAGCGGAGAGGCCATCGTCGATCATCTCTTGCCGCCTAGAATTTCAGGGATGCAGCCCGTTGACCTCAAACCCGTAAAAGCCGCAATCCTCGAAGGCGAAACCTCTCAAGCTTCAAGGCATAAAGGGCTTGGGGTGGTTTGGGTTCCGGATGGTTTAGAGACTTCTTAGAGCCACGCTTGAGCCGATCTTGGTGCTCCTCGGCTGGAAAGCAACATGGGCTCCAAGTTCAACTCTTCCAAATTTCGACAAGAAAGGGTAACTTCAGCAGGAGTGTGTGAGACAAGGGCTGAACAGGACCGAGAGTCACGTTCGATGCTCAGCTTGCTGCCCTCCACCGCGGCCTGGGACTCTGGAACACTGTGTCACACTCGTAGAGCTGAAGCTCTTGGTTCTAGTTCCAAGCTCTTCACTTGCTAGAAGACAGCGGTCGTTGTCGTCGCTTTTCCGGAGCATGTCGTATAACACATCCATGCAACACTGATCCCACATCCGTTGCCTTGAAGTTTGCAGCCTTCTCTACAAAGCGGTCGTTGGCGACAGGCTTCTTGGCGGCAAGCGCCTGAACAGGTGGAGCTCGGAGAAAGCTGAAACTTCTCATGCATGACAGCGAGCTGTCGCGCCTAGACAGAACCTTCCAAATCCGAAACATTGAACTCCAAACAACTCCCTTATTTGCACACCTTCAGCTAGAGATATCACATTGCTTGGGCCCAAGACATCATGAGAAGGCCACCATAATATTCCACATCGGTTCCCGTGTTGAGGGGAGATGTGCTGGCAACTCACACAACTTGCCAACACCCACGCAATGTGGCCTCCACCTCCTTGTGCTGATGACCTTGGCTTCGACACAAAACTCAGCCGAAGGCAGCCCTGGAGTTTAAGGGGCAAGCTGAGGACTTAAAGATTTAGGAGCAATTCTACCGGGGTAGCAGGTGTCCCTTCCCTGTAACGCAAGACTCCCCACTAAGGTTGCGACCGCCTCGGCTGATGGCCACCAGAGGTGGGAGCATGCTGCCGACGCGTCGGCGGAATGAAAGGGAGAGGGAGAGAGATTGGAAGAAATCTCGGCGAAAAAGAGCCGAAAGTGACTTGCGCAATGCATCAGTCTAACGACTGCATCTTGCCATTTGCTGACATCTGGAGCCGAAGAGAAGTAGGCTGGGGTTGCTGCAGCTTTGCCTAGGCACATACCACGAGCTACAAGGCCGACTTTGCTTCGGTTCCAGTGCCCTCAAGCCCTGCTGCTCCCGGCGACCTTCAAACTTCGCTCTGGCAGCATTAGTGGCCACCGGCCGTGACAAGTGGCATACTGAAACATGCTGATCACTGATCAACATGCTAAGTATCAGACTTAGAATAACAATAATAGTGATATTCGCATGGGAGGGCCCACCGGGCGGTGGTGACAGCCATGGAGAAGGCTGCAACACCATTGGCCTTGGCTGAGCAGCCATCACGTGCGCTCTCTGCCGAAGGCTCGACAGACCTCAACACAGGTTCACCCCTTAAGTGCCCAGCCCTCGAGGCTGCGCCCACGGCCCGACCTGCGCTCATTTTAGCGGCTTACAGAGAGGCAGGGTGGGGGGTCGGGGCTATTCGGCTCGCGGTGCTTTCCGCCTACTCCGAGGGCACATGGTCATGTGCCACATTCACTTGAAATATGGCTCCTCGAGCCAACCAGCGGCCTCTCTCAATGTAGGCGGCAAGCACCCGCTTCAGCAGAGGTCTCAGCGTATCCTTCGGCGTGGAAAAAACACAGAACAACACACCAACAGGCGCAGTGTAGATGCTCATTTCGCCCCTGCACCGTGCCCGAGGCGAGATTTCGGGTTTGGGCAGCAGCTTCAGATCGGCCTCGTCCGCGGGATCCCTCAGGGGTGGTAGTGCGGCAAAGGTCCGGGGCAGGTCCTGCGCACCCAACAGAAAAAGGAATTGTCGAGTGACCGGAGCGGGTCAGAAAGGCCCTGCGAATTGCAATTGGCTGCAATTTGCCCGCAATCTTGCTGACGTAGGATTGGCGAATGTACTTGAGTCATGAGCCCACAGCAATGGCACGGCTAGGCGACTGGGCTGCGATGAACACTACTTGTTAATCTCCGAAGCAGCATTCACCAACGCCAGGCTGTACGTTGCTTTGCGTTTCGAAAGCTGTTGCCATGCAGCTCGGCTTCAGAGACACAAGCTAATTTCTTGGGCATCTGCAGCGCAGAGGTCCTTCTCAATCTGCTTGCGGTCCTCACATGTGCACACCATTGCACACCTAAAGTGCCGAATGGCTACACGAGAAGTGCAGTGCTCAGAAAGCCTGACTGCATAAAGTAGAGTGCGAAGTGGAGCATGTGCAAGCCATGCGAACAAAAAAGCAATGCCACGGGAATCTAGCGGCTTGAATATAGCGGCTTCTTGCATCTCAGTCCTTGAGCGCCGCATCGTCCACACGGCTAAAGGATGAGGTCACGAGGCAGTCGTAGTAGTTCTGCAGTCCGAACTCAAGCCCCACAAGCCCCCCAAAGCTTCACACCCCCAACCCCCAACCGGAAGCCCTTCAAACCCTAAACATGTAAACCTTGAGCCCCCCTCGCACTGCATCCGCCTGGCTTTAGGGTGTTGCAACGGTAGGGTTCAACGACTCATGACCCACAGTAAGAGGAATGAGAGGCGAGCGATGCGCGAAACTGATCACAACGTGTGTGGACGTGTAGCTACCCCACAGTTGAACAGAGTCCCCACAGTGAACTAAGGAACCAGGTCACCAGGTCAAAGGGCGTCAGACGGCTTGAACATGCTTGAACTGCCCAAGCCCCCAATGCCCGAGCACAGCCCGACTCTCAGCGCCCGGCCCGCGAGCTCTCGCCGCCCAAAGCGTCGAAGCGCTTGCGCTGCGCAACTTGCCGGTACCTGCAGACACTCTCACGCCAGCAGATTCCGTGGCGCGATGCAGCCTTAACTTCAAAGGTCCTCTGAACCCCCTACAAGCCCCCATAGGTGAACAGCCCCGATGAACTCCCTGAGTACCCCTATAGACCCTAAACCCTAAACCCTAAACCCCGACCACCAGCTTCTTGCGCTTTTTTTGTTCCGGTTTCTTCGGTCAGCGCAGCGCCCAGCGTTCCGGGCGTTCCGGGCGTTCCGGGCGTTCCGGGCGCGGCCCTTTGGCTTCGGACCAGCGCTGGATGAAGGAAGGACCCAGCAACCGCAGTGAGCGGCCGAGGGCCTCCACCTAACACAAAGAGTTTTCTATAGGGAGGGGCTTTAGGGGTCTGAGGGGTCTTGGGAACTTTGGGGGAGTTTTGTGGAAGTTTCAGGACCTACGAATCCCACGAAGGGGGCCTCGAAGATGCAGCTCTCTTTGGGCAGCACCTTGATTTGGTTCTCGGCAGTGATGATCCGGAAGGTCTGCTGTGTCTCTTCAATGACTGTACCGCTGAGTCCTTAAGGGAACGTTGCGGTTCAGGGCGTTGGGTGCAGAATCCCCCACGCGACCCTCCGGCCAAGCCACGAACCAAACCGGGGGTCTTCGCCTGCAGAAGATTCTTTGTCCCAGTGGTGGGGAGCTGGCCCGACATGTGTTCGGCGAGGGTTCAAATCTCTGCTAAAAGGTTTGAGGGCTTGGGGTTGAACTGATTCAAAAAGGGGGGGGAGGCCCAAACCCAAAGCCAGGCCTGGCCTGTGCCACCCGGAGGCAGCTCCCGTGTAGATCGGCACGAGCTAAGACGGCGCTGAGCTCCTCAGCTTCATCAGACTTGGGACTCAGTTCAGGGCGACTCATTTTCTTAGCTGTCAGGCTGGCCCCGGGTACTTCAAGAGGTTTGGAGAAAACCAGAACAGCGCGTCATACCGTCATACCGTATAAGAACTCATCTGCTCGCTTGAAAATGAGCATCGTCATCGTTGGCTGGTGAGAGGTCCTCTATATACCTCAGCTTCGGGCACAAACAACATCAGCACAAAAACTCACTATGCCCCAGTTCTTGAATTCAAAAGCCCCCCTATGGCCCCCTATGGCCCCTTGACCCCCAAAATTCGCCCCAAACCCGTGCAGAACAACAAAATACCGCCGAAGCATCACGAGGTGCTTCTCCCAGAGCGCGCGCAAAGGCGCAAAGTCATCGTGCCGCAGCTGCTTCCAATGCTCCTTGCCACGCGCCTGTGAGGTTTAGAGAGGGATTTGGGGGGTGTTGGGTACACTGCGGGCCTGGGCTTCAGCGAGATGGGGAGGGGATTGAACCTCGCAGCTTCAACCCTTCCCCCAGGCCTCCTTGGAGCCCTTCACTGCGTTTCGCCCTTTGGACGGTTTGGCAGGGAGCTTGGACGGGTCCAGCCGCAGGAACTTGCCCCGGATGTTGCCTTGCGGAAAGGCCGAGGCGGGGAGGGGAGGGAGGGTGGGCAAATTGCGAACACTGCGGTGTCAGGTTCCCATTGGGGGGTCGGGCCCGACGCCCGAAAAAAAACCCAAGGGCAAAAGGAAGCTTGTCAGGCGACGGTCGTAGTAGCCCGAAGTGTTCCCGATGCCGAAAGTACCTCTGACTTGCGGCGGTGCGCTTCGCAACCAGGCCCCCAATCGGTTCAGGGTTTGGGGTTAGAAATATTGGAAAGTTCGAGTCTGGAGTTGCAATCTCCAATTGGGTGGCCGCTGTAACGGAAACTAAAAAAGGCTGTAACGGCAACAAACGGCAAAATGTAGCGGAAAGCAAAAAAAAATGTAACGGAAACAACGGCCCGGCGAGTCGAAACAATGCGCGGCTGTAACGGAAACCAAGCAGACCTGCAACGGAAACCAAAAAGAGATGTAACCGAAATCACGGAAAACTTAAACCGAAACCTACAAAAACCGGCTACGGAAAGGCGCACCAGAAGGGCACGGCTCTTTTTCTTCCTGGCATGCAAAGGCCGTTCTGCAGGTACTTTTGGTCAGCGTCGCCTCGCGGGACACAAGAGGGCTTAGTGCTTCCAGGGCCTGTAGGGCGAGGGTTGAGGGTTCAGGGCAAGCCGCAAAACCCACAACCCCTGCAGCCGGTCGCCCGGATCTCCGCAGAGCAGGCAGACTGGAACTTCTTCAAGTTGTCCCCTAAAACCCTAAACCCTAGACCCTAAACCCTGAACTCTAAACCCTTTTTCCCCCGAACCTATAAAACCCCTAAACCCTACAGCCCCGAACCCTAAACCCGTAAACCCAAGCTTGTCGCCCGGATCTCGTAACTTCTGCGGAGATCCGGGCGACAAGCTTGGGTTTACGGGTTTAGGGTTCGGGGCTGTAGGGTTTAGGGGTTTTATAGGTTCGGGGGAAAAAGGGTTTAGAGTTCAGGGTTTAGGGTCTAGGGTTTAGGGTTTTAGGGGACAACTTGAAGAAGTTCCAGTCTGCCTGCTCTGCGGAGATCCGGGCGACCGGCTGCAGGGGTTGTGGGTTTTGCGGCTTGCCCTGAACCCTCAACCCTCGCCCTACAGGCCCTGGAAGCACTAAGCCCTCTTGTGTCCCGCAAGGCGACGCTGACCAAAAGTACTTGCAGAACGGCCTTTGCATGCCAGGAAGAAAAAGAGCCGTGCCCTTCTGGTGCGCCTTTCCGTAGCCGGTTTTTGTAGGTTTCGGTTTAAGTTTTCCGTGATTTCGGTTACATCTCTTTTTGGTTTCCGTTGCAGTTTTGTTTGTAGTCCGTGGCACCCTAATCCTTCCAGTGGCTGTAGTTTCTCGCTTAGGAAGGTAGTTTCTGTTACGCCCCGACGCCGTTTCTGTAACGCCCCGAAGCCAGTTTCCGTTACGCCCTTTCGTAGTTTCTGTGTCGTTTTCAGGGGGGCAGTTTCCGTTACAACCCGCCAATTTCCGTAACATACTTTACTCTCTCCAATTGGGGCGGTGAGGGGAGGGGCTCGGAAACCGAGGTGCCTTCTTTTGGGTGTTCAGGAAAACAATGGCTTTTTGGGGTATGCTGCTTGTGCGCTGTGCGTTCTCGGCTCCTGCCCCCCATGGTATCCCATGGTATCCCCCCCCCAAGGCGTCCGGTCTCTCCGCTAAACCCCCTACTAAACCCTAAACCCGAAGACCCAAACCCTAAACCGTAAACCCTAAACCCTAAAAGCAACCCACAACCACACCCGGGGGGGGGCCGGGGTGGGCTAAACCCTAAACCCAAACCCAACCCTCAACCCGAAACCCGAAAACCAACCAGGGTGGGGGGGGGTACATCCTGCAGGGGTCTGGGGGAGGGTGGCCCGTCGTTTTGAGAAATGCCCGTACAAATCCCAGAAGGCCCTCAAGCCCAAGCCAATCACCCGGGCTTGCTACAGGTGCGGGGTCACGCAGCAGCTCGAGTGTAGGCCCCTCGGGGTCTGCGACCCGTCGCTTCGGAGCGTCAGCCATGTTTTCACTGTGTTGTCGGGACTGAACTTCAAGCACAACCCCTGCTCCACAACGGAGTTCAACTATGTGGTTCCTCGCGGGAACATATGGGCGGATCCCTACATTCCTGACTACGAACCGCGTTGGAAACTTCGTCAAGTGAGTCAAGTGTGTTTGTGTTGCTGTGGCCACTTGGACACTCACGTTGCACAAGGAATCTTGCGGACGCTTGCACAACAAAGCCATGCAGTGCAGAACAAACAGCATCCAAGCAGAATGCATCCACCATTGCTCGCGCCTTCTTTCCTGTGCTCTCCCGCGGGGAGTGGCTTCCACGGTCGCTCATCGCTCAACCACATGCCTGTGCCCTCGCTGCCCACCGAAACCTAAACCCTACAGGCCCTACAGACACCCAGAAACTCTGCAACTCCATTAACCCCCTGAAGCTGAAGCTCTATAAACAGTCTCGAAGGGATCAAGTTGACTCACAACCTGATGGGAGCCACCCTTTTCCGGGTTGTTGATGGCCTGTGCGCAGGACGTCGACGGGCTTGCTTTTTGGGGACTCGTGGCTGTGGGAAAACAATGGCAGAACGGGGTTCAGGAACTAGCATCTGCGCTTTGGGGTGGATGGGTGCACGCCCCTTGGAGGGGGGTGGTGGGGTCATTTTGAAGGGTTCGCACCGCCCCGAGCTTTACTTGTTTGAGGCTTGCTTTATCTGAAGCGCTGAAAGGAGCATTTTCAAGCACTGCTGGCCCCACAAAAAATGACACTGCCAGGCTTCCCGGCCTTCCGTCTGCCAATCTAGACCATGTCGGCGCATGGGAGCTCGATCTTGAAATCCAAGCCCTGCTGCATGACGGCCTGGAGCTCTCAACCACGTTTTTCAGTGGAGGCCCCCCCCTTTTCGGGTCTGGAATAGTGCCAGATGTGAAGTCCCTGCCCCCCCAAAATGTTGCTCGCCAGAAAAGCAACCTTCACGTAGTAGTAGCCGAAATCGCCCAGAAGTATGAGATGGAGCAAATGGGCGCCCCTGGGCAGACCGGATGTTCGGAGTATCAAGGGGTCAATCGAGTACAAGCTCTCCAGCAGGCACTCACAGGCTGACACATACCTGCCTTTGCCTCGCACCCTAGGCAGTCCAGTCTCAAAAACCCCCGAAACATGTTCTCTTGAAAACCTGAACTTGGGTTTGAGAGTCTTTCAGGACCAAACACGAGACCGCGACGCTAAGCTGGGTTCAGGGTCTACAGGGCCTGCAGGGCAGACCTTGTTCTGCAACCACCTTCCTTCGAAGCCTACACCCTAAGATAAACCCTGAACCTCCGGTTGCACTAAGTGCGCCACAGAATTGCCCAGATGGCCTTCAGGGACGGGGACTAACCATCCCCCGATTTTAGCTTTTACCCAACCCTGGAGGATGTAGGTTTGGGTTGGAGCATTCTGAAGCCACGTTGTCAAAGCCTCGACTATTTAGGGTTGAGGGCTCAGGGCACAGCTGCAACAGCAGCACCGATGGATCTCATGCAGCCTAAATCCTCAAAGTCCATGTTCTGTGGGGGCTGCTATTCGCCCACTTGCCCCACCTGGTTCAGATTTCCCAGGAGCGGCTGGCATGTGATATCGAAGCGCGCGTGCCACATGAAGACCCCACTCAAGGCGCGGCTACAAGCCAGCATGGCGATGTAGTGGCCTTCGGGAGCAATTCATGCTTGCTCAGCGGTGAGAGAAGCTGCCAAAGGCGTGATGAGGACAGAACATCTCGGTTAGTTGCAGGTTCTTGACCCCCATCCCGCGCTCACCACAGCCTGTGCAGGCTTGGATCACACCTCCAGTCTGGTGGATGTGCCACCTGGACCGCAAAACGGGTGAAAGGACCGCAGGGTCAAAGCGTGCATAGAGATGAGGCGGCTCAAAATGGCACAAACTCGAGTTTGCCTCTAACTTCCTGAATGGTATCTTTGTTCCGGCCATCTTCCGGTTAAGAGCTCGCTGCTCCTTGAGCCGTGCGGGGGAACCACCGGCGCAACTTCAGCCGAGCTGCAGCTGGGGAAGCACAGAGACGACGCTGAGGAAGAGTCCGGCCATCCACAACGTGTCCTGGGGACAAGAAGGAATGAATAAAAACCAGGTGCTGCATTCAGCACGACCCTGACAGGCAGAGTAGACAGCAGAGCACACATCGAGGCAATTGCAATTTCAAGCAACTGTTAAGCTTTCTCTCTTTCCCACTCATCAGATTCACTAACTTCGCTTGACTTCACGTGCCGCTGAGGCGCGAAAAGCGGGCGGCCTTAAGGGCGCGGCTCTCTCAACAAATGTCGCTGCAGTTACTTGGGGCGACGCCCCGGAATCTGAAGAAATCTGAACTGCCTGTGAGAAGTGACTGAGGCCAAAGGCTGTTCATGTCCGCATGAAGCAGTGCAGCGAGGACTAGGCTGACCAACACCATCGGGAGCACCTCAATCGCGTCGCAGTAAAGATTGCCTGCGCGCTCTCCCACAAGCGCCTACAGTTTCAAGCAGGAGAGTGCTTTTCCCTGACATACAAAGACACCTCCCCTTCAGAGATCCTACCCTAAGCCCTTGAACCCACACAGCCCCGGACCTCCGCAAAACCGCCCTAACACGCCAAGAGTTTAGAGCCTCATGTGAACCGCCCCGCGTCATCTGGATCCATTCTTCCAGGGTAAGAGATGCTCGTGGGCTTCTTGTCAGGAGACTGTTTTACTCAGGCGAAGGTTGCTCAACCCACTGTGACTCATGACTCCAATGGCTAGGGTTCCGGCTGGCAGTGAGTCGGCTTCCTGGTTCGCTCTGACAGATGAGCGAAAGGGCTTCAAGAGTTGTTATATGGATCTCAAGACTCGGAATTCAAGGATCGAGCTCCTCTGTTGTTTCTTCAACTTAGTTGCATGCTTCGTCTACTTGGGGAGGGGGGGTGGGGTGCCTCCAACTTCGGCATAAGCGCCTTGACTGTGAAAAGCAGTGGGTGATTCGATGATCTGGCCTCCTCGTAGCTCCAACGATGAGACACAAAGGCTCGGTGGAGCAGAATGAGCACCAGGAACAGGCTGCAAATGTCGACGGCCTGAAGGGGGCTATCTGCATATCTGTGCTATCGGCTGTCGTAACAGTCGTAGCACAGCACCACAGCTGCACAGTAGCACCACGGCCTGATACACAAAGTCCCCAGATGCATCCACTGGCAAGTAGCCTTAATAGTATAGGAAGCGTTGACTGGGTGCGCAACGCACAAGCGAGGGATATGCGACTGCAACAAGTTGAAGAACGATCGACCAGCGCATGTATAGCAGACCTCCACCCCCAACTTAATCGGGGTAGACAAAGGTGACCTTTGTCTTTCCTTATATACACAAAAACTTGCCGACACACGTACGTACATACGTACATACATACATACATACATACATGCTATGATATTTATGTCTGTCTGTCTGTCGGTCTGTCTGTCTCTCTGTCTGTGTGTGTGTGTGTGCAAAAGCAACTTCTTTTGCTCGGACACAGCACACCATAAACTTTACACATACCACACCGTAAGCCTGAATGGCTAGGCCCGAGGCCCGAAACCCTTGAGATCACTTGAGACGTCAGTTCATGCCCTACCTACCCCCCTGACCCCTGAACCCGAAACGCTGTCCAAAATCTCCTTCAGACTTCAACGTTGAATTAAGGCGTCAAGCCCCACAACCCCCCAAACCCTAAACTTTGATTGAACATTGTACCAACGCTGGAGGAACTCTCTTCCAACGCTGGAGGGGTCCCCCCCCCTTCCAACGCTGGAGGGCGACCCTCCAACGCTGGAGGCCTTTCAATCCTCCACGCGACCCCCCCCCCCTTCCAATGCTGGAGCCTCCCCCTCCCCCCCCCTTTCCAACGCTGGACCCCCATCTTTCCAACGCTGGAAGGACACCCCCTTCCAAAATCATGAAATTACATGAAAATTCATTACAATGAGTTAAATTCAATAAAAACTCATTACAAAACTATTGACAGTACTTGAAATACATAAAAATTGAAGAAAATTGATGTAAAAAATTCGAAACATTTATTAACATGAGTAAAAAACTAGTTAAGATGCAATTAAAATGATGCAAAAAAACTAATCGAAGAATCGAAATTAATAGCAAAGGAATGAAAATGATTTATAACTCATCGAAAAAGATTTTTTGTTAAAAACTTAAATAATTGAAGTGTTAATTAAGAAAAATCAAATGAACTAAAATTCATGTCAATTAATTTAAACTGATGAAAACTAACTACGGGAATTTAAAAATTTTAAACTAGCTAACTTCATTTAAAACTCCTTAAAACTCAACAAACACCAAATTAATAAAATCAATTAGAAACTATATATTGAATTACGTCAGCCTCGGACTGGCAAAACACCGGAGAAAGAGACAAATCCCGAGCTGCAGATGCAGTACGGCCTCGGGGCCTGCGCTTCCCACCTCCACCAGCACAAGTCTTTGGCAGCGCCACGGGCGTTGGGCCCTTGCTTTCCATCCTGCCTGAAAACTCCGCCCTGGCTTTCAATCTGACCAGCAAAATCCCGACCTGCAGTTGTAGTACAGCCTTTGGGCCTTTGCTTCCCGCCTCTACCAACAAAAGTCCTTGGCAGCAATACGGGCTTTGGGCGCTTGCCCATCTAACCAAAAACTCCCGAGATGGAGTGCAAACTCCGGCTTGGCTTCCTGCCTTCGACTAAGCTCACAAGCACCATGAACGGGGGCGAACACAAAGAGCACCGCGTACTCGAGCCAACTTAGGGTTTAGGGCAAGTTTAGGGTTTGGGTTTGGACCAGCACCGAGGGCAAGCCAGCCCGGATCTCGCGAGTGATGCTCCCGCTCGGCTGGCCACCCTCTACACGCTGCAGATTGCTGCAGCCTGCGGGCTGCATGAAGAATCAGGCACTGCCGCATGTGTGCAGCTGACGCATGTGCGGGCATAAGGTGGACGAAATGGGAAGCGTGCTCGCGCATTCATGCCAACACATGTCTCACGATAACAATGTGTGGGGAGCCTGCTTCAAAGAGCAGGGTGCCAAACAGAATGGGCGTCTAGGCATTCACTGCCAGGGATGTGAAAGATGACCGACGTCAAGAATATCTCCGGCACACGCCTCAATGGAAGCGAAAACAAGAGCGAGTGAGTGAGTGAGTGAGTGAGTGAGTGAGTGAGTGAGAGATGAGAGCGAGAGAGACACGCGCCCCTCTCAGTCATGACAGATTGCGCCCTCGGCAGAACGAAAGCACGACATGCGCTCTCACAACACTTGCAGTTTCTCGGCGAGCCCGAACTCCTAAACCCCCAAACCCTGCAAACAAACCCCGGTCCCACACGCGACTGAGCGCTTGCGCAAGCACTCCAGGGCCCGGACATGCGCAAAAAGAAGAAAACAACACCTGAGCCGAAAGTGAAGTGAGAGAGAGCCGTCGTATATTTTAAGGAATATTCGTTAAATAAGGGGTATTCAGTCTGAGAGAAATCGAAAGCGCAAGGACAGACGCGCTGCGCTAACCCAAAGACTCCAGCACCCCTCAAAGCCCAACTTCGCAGTCTGAGCGCATCGCGGCAATGATGATCGCGCAAAGAAGGACCTTGTGGGGTTTCTGAGGTTGGGCACGGGCACCCTAAACCATGTTCACTCACGGTTCGCGAGACCGGACAGCGCAAGGACAGACACTCTCTGTTGACCCAGAGACTCCAATACCCCTCAATTCCGGAATATCTCTTTAAACCATATAGGAACCCTATCTTATGAGGAATATTTCTTAAGGGGTATTGGAGTCTCTGGGATACATACATACATACATACATACACACACACACACATACATACATACATACATACATACATACATACATACATACATACATACATACATACATACATACATACATACATACATACATGCATACACACACTCCTTTGTTCATGCATCGATTTGCTCACTATTGTCTATCCTGTCTTTTCATTTGCTGGACCTTAGCATCGGCACCGCTTCAGCTTAGTCATGGCTATGGCATGAAAATGGAAGCAGGCACCGAGAACGGCACCTTCTCCAAGTATCAGAAGCCGCCCACTTTGGATGCGCTCGTGGTGACCCAGCCACAGGAGAGAGGCGAAGAGGTCTGTTGGAGTTGGAAGCTTTCCGGACGTGTTCGGATTTCGGGCGCAGGGGCTTGGGGGGGATTTTCCCCCCTGCGGAACACAGCCGAAAACTGTAATGCCCTAAAAACCCTAAAGCCCTAAATCCCCATAAAACCACCCGAAATAACTACAACAACCCAATAGTTAGCAGATCAAGAAATAAACACATAGGTAGAAATCGATAGATGCACACATCTTCGCTTGTTTAAGCATGACCATAAACGGAAAGCTAAGTATGAAAATCAGATGCAAAGATCACTGTACCTATTCAGACATATATATATATACACACACATAAATGGCAAATATACACATACATAGAAGCACGTGTTTTTCATATTTATGTATATGCGATATGTGTCATATTGAAAGTACGAATATGCGTAGTAGTCAGTAAGTGAACCCAGAATGCACACCCTCAACCCTCCTACGACCCCCCTTGAACCCAAAACCTTCTAACCCATGAATTTTTAAAGCGAAAAAGCACAACAAGTGTACCTATGCAGGAGTCCAAAGACCCTAGATTCTAGATCTCTAATGAGCCAACCGCCGGATAGGAACATCCCTCCCCCCCCCACCCACCACGCAAGAAACACGGCCTGAACTGGCATCCGCTTTAGGCCTTTTGCAGGGCCGACCTGGCAAACCTGCAGCAACAAGACTTCAGAAGTTTAGGGCTAGGGTTCAAGGTTCAGGGGGCCGTCTGTGAACCGAAAACTTATAAGTTGCCTACGGAAGGCCTACCGCAAAATCAAAAGAACTTCCCTGTAAACCCTAAACTCCTGAATCCCTAAACCTCTAAGCCCCCCTTTCCCCGAAAACCCTACAGCAAGCACCAGCGAGGTAAGCACAGCACCCTCTGGATGTGGTTCACATTCAGGGGATTCGGGCAGCCTACCCAACCGAAAGCCCAAACCCGAACGAGCAAAGGCTTCTCTTTTGGATTTGGGAGGAGCTCTCCCCCAACCCTGACCCTACAATGCCAGAACCCAGAATCCTGGCCTCGAGAGGCCCGGCCTGAAGCACCTCAGCTGTGGCTTCTCTTCACGCTGCTTGGGGCTTTTTCGTGATTTTCGGAATGCTTTAAAGGGACTCAAAGGGGTTCATAAGGTGTCGGGGCTGGGGGGTTTAGGGCTGTCAGGGCGGGTGTTTGTAGGGCAGGCGTTGTTCATAATACGAATGAAAGCCAAAACCCCAAACCTCTATAAACCCCTAAGCCCCTAAAACTCTACAAACTGTACCGTAATCAGGCCCCGATTCTGCGGGTATGCCAGCATTTTCTGGAAGGAAAACCTGCCGCAACAAAGTCGCGCTTTTTTGCTACACGACATGGCAAGTTAAGCTACATGCCCCAGCACTTCTGGAAGAAAACCCGCAGTGGCGTGACTGCCCTCTAAGATGTGGAAGGATACATTCATCGCACCCTTATGGCAGAAAAGCGCGCCGCAACAAACTGGCTCTTCGCTTGTGTTCTTCTTAAGGTTCATGGTTTAAGGTGTCTATGGATTAGGTTTAGATTAGAGCCTCAACCCTAATCTCTATCATTTGGGCTTAGGGTGTTAGAGCCTAAAGCCTAACAACTAACCCGTCAGAGTAAAAACCCTTTACGAGGTCGCCTCCCCTGAAGCCAAGAGGCCAGGCCACGGAACGAAGAACACTTATGGAAGGACAACCCGCCGTAACAAAGTAGCGCCTTTTTTGTGCTGCGTGGCATGGCAGATCAGTTACATGTGCTAGCTGCTAACACGTCCGGAAGGAAAACTCGTCGTCCCCTGTGGCGCAACGGGGTTGTCTAGGCAGGAAGAAGATCTATGCATAGGGGTCTATGGTAAAAGGGAAGGTGATGCACGAAAGCCGCTAGGGGGACCTATCAAAGAAACATAGGGGCCTATATAGGGGTATAGCGACGCCTGAGTTGGAAGCCCTGGGTTCCGCACGTAATGTCCGTAAGGGACCTTGCGAGGCAAAGGGACTGCGAGTCGGGTTTAGGACTTAGGGGAGGGGGGGCTCATGCCGTTATGGCACCTGCGAATTGTTTAGG